TAGCTTTTGCATAGTTCTTAAAAACACCTTGTAGAGCGTAGCCCTCTCATTTGTCAGTAGTACTACTGTATCGAGAGGACAGATAGATAAATATACTCAGACATGTGCATATATGTCTATATATGTATCGAAAGATACATCTCCATCTGTCTACAGTGATAAACCACACAAAATCTTTGCTCTCATGAATCTTGCATTCTGGTTAGGAATTACAGACCCCAATACGTAAATGAATATTACGTAAATAAAAACAAAGAAAGTAATTTCAGATTGAAAGATAGTAAGAATTAAATAAATATAATAGGAGAGTATTGAGGAAAGGGATGAGTTGGGTTTTTTTTGTTGTTTTTTTTTTGCAGTACGCGTGCTCCCCCACTGCGGAGCACGGGCCCCAGATGCGCAGGCCCAGCGGCTATGGCCCATGGGCCCAGCCGCTCCGCGGCACGCGGGATCCTCCCCGACCGGGGCACGAACCCGTGCCCCCTGTATCGCCAGGTGGACTCCCAGCCACTGCGCCACCAGAGAAGCCCAGGGATGAGTTTTTGATAGTATGGTCAAGAAAGACCTTTCTGAAAACCCAGATCATGTATGGCCTTTTATGCCTGGTAGGAGTTTGGTATTTATTCTTAGTATCTATCAGAAGCCTTTAAAGAATTTTAACCTTTAGGTAGTGATATCTGCTTTAGGTCTTTCAAAGATCATTGTGACTCTGGTATGGAGAATTATGTTTTGGAGGGTAGTGATGGCTGTGGGGAGTCTGCTTAGAAAGTATAGTTCAGTAGCCTGGATGAGAGTTCGTGGTGTCCTGGACTAGGTGATAGTGGTTGTATTAATTATCCATTATTGTGTAACCAATTACCACAAAGCTTAGTGGCTTAAGACAACAAACATTTATTTTCTCACCATTTCAAGGGGCAGGAATCCAGCAGCAGCTTAGCTGGATGATTCTGGCTCAAGGTCTCTCATGAGGCTTCAGTCAAGCTGTCAGCCAGGGCTGCATCATCTGAAGCCTTGACTTGGCCTGGGAGTCCACTTCCAAGAAGGCTCACTCACATGATGGGCAATTAGTTCTGGCTTTTGTCTGGAACTTGGCCTCTCATTCACCAGGACCCCTCTTCTCTATGTGGCCTCTTCAGCAGAATAGCCTGGACTAGGCAAATATTTCTTAACTATAACATCAAGGGACTTCCCTGGTGGTCCAGTGGTTAAGTCTCCGTGCTCACAATGCAGGCGGCCCAGGTTTGATCCCTTGTCAGGAACTAAGATCCCACATACTGCAAGTAAGCCTGCGTGCTCTAGAGCCCACACACCACAACTAGAAAGCCCACACACTGCAACTAGGGAGGCCCACTTGCCAAAAGAAGACCCAGCACAGCCAGAGTAAAATAAATAAATGAAAATAAACTATAACATAAAAACCATAATATATATATAAATTAATTCATTGAACTTCATTAATGTTTAAAACTTCTGTTCTATGAAAGTTATTACTAAGAGGATGAAAAAAACAAGTTGAAGACAAGGAGAAAATATTTGTAGATCATCTATCTGACAAAGAATTAGTATCAATAATACAAATAATAAGAAAGCTCAGTAATAAGAAAACAAACAACCCCATGACAAAATGGGCCAAACTTTGAACAAGCACTTCACTAAAGAAGATACACAGATGGCAAATAAATATATAAAAAATGTTCAGCACCATTAGTCATTTGGGAAATGCAAATGAAAGCTATACTGAGCTATCACTACATACTGGTTAAAATGGCTAATTAAAAAACCCCTGATAACTTAAAATGCTGGTGAGGAGGCAGAAGCAACTAGAACTCTCATACATTTCTGGTGAGAACACAATGGAAAATATTTTGGCTTGGTAGTTTTTTATGAAATTAAACATACACTTATCATAGGATCCAGTAATCCCACTCCAAGGAATCTATCAAAGAGAAATAAAAAATTATCTTCACACAAAAATTTGTATGCAATTATTGTACTTACTTGGATGTGTAGTACAATCTTGAATAGGAATGGTAAGAGTGGACATCCTTGCCTTTTTCTCTTTGTATCCTTGAGTTTATACTACCTTGTCTTAATTACTATAGCCTTGTAATAATTCTTAATATACTATAGAAAACTTTGTCCTCTTTTATATTAAACTCCATGGCTCCTCTTGGCAGTTTCTATTTCTATATGAATTTTATACTCAATTTGTGAAGTTCTGCCCAAAATATGAAGACATATGATTGGAATTACATAAATTAGTTTAGGAAGAATGAAATCTATATAATATTGAAAATCCCAATCCATGAATTTGGACTTTCTCTCCATTAATTTTAATCTTCTTTAATGACTCTGTAACAAAATTTTATAATTTTCCCTGCATAGGCCTTTCATGTCCTTTGTCATATTATTCCTAGATATTTGTTCCTATGATGGTATTGTAATTAGTATGTTTTCTTTCTTTCTTTTTTTTTTGAAAGGAAAGAGAAAATGTTTTCTGATTTATTTGAAAAATTCAAGGCACATTAAAAATGTTCTTATATGACAATCTCTTCAAAATATCTATCAATATATTAACAAGATGGCTATACCTTTTTTTATTTTTCTTCTTTGCTTTAATTGAGATATAATTGACCTACAACATTGTATTAGTTTCAGCTGTGTAACATAATGATTCGATATTTATTATATACTGTGAAATGGTCACCATAAGTCAAGATAACATCCAGCCTTGTTTTTTTGATCTTAAGGGAAAGACATTCAATCTTTTAACATTAACTAGAAAGTTAGCTGTAGGTTTTTCATAGATGCCCTTTATCAGGTTAAGGAAATGCCTGTCTATTTTCCACTTTGCTAAAAGGAATAGATACTGAATTTTCTCAAATTCTTCTTATACAACTATTGAGATGTTCGTATGATTTCCTTCTCTAATGTTCTGATCTGGTGAACTATATTGATTAATTTTTAAATGTTGGATCAGCATTGTATTTTTGGCATAAACCCCACTTGGTTATTATGTGTTATCCTTTTTAATATATCCCTAGATTGGATTTACTTATTTTTTGTATCTATTCTCATGGGGAATACTGTTCTGTGCTTTTCTTTTCTTGTAATGTCTTTGTATGGACTTGTTCAGGGTAATGTTGACTTCATAAAATGAGTTAGGAAGTGTTCTCTCCTATTCTATTTTCTGGTAGAGTTTATGCATAACTGATATTTATCCCTTAAGTGTTTGGTTGAATTTGCAAATAAAATGATTTGGGCCTGATATTTCTTTGTTGTCAGTATTGTATTCTGTTTTGATAAGAATTTGGGGCTTTAGAATTGAGCAACATCAAATTCATGTCTAACTCTGTTCATTTCTCCCTGAGAAACCCTAAGCAAGGCACTAATTCTCTTTGAGCCTCAGTTTCTTCATATATAAAATGGGTGGTTGTGAAGATTAAATAGAGATATACATCAGTTGATTATCACTATGCTATACTACATTTGCATGTGTTAACTTATTCAGATTTTAATATTATAGCGCTACTATCTATATTATTACAATCACTATTTTACAGATAAGAAAACTATTGCAAAGAGAGATTAAATAACTTGCCCAGGGTTACTCAGGTAGCACATAATGAAGCCAGGATTTGAACTGAGACTGTTTGGTTCCAGAGTCCTTGCCTTTAAGCACTAACAGGCACTAACTATAATAATTCCTATTGCACTGTGAGTATTAAAACAGACAATATATGTAAGCAGCTATATTTGTGCTAGTTCAAGGTTGTTGTTTTGTAAATGGATATTGTTATTAATAACATGAATTAATATCACTTTGAAGTCAAAGGTACTTCAGAATATTTTCAACCTGTCAAAGACACTTTAGAATAGATAATCAAATACTTTTTATTAAAATTCATTACAGTGAAATTCCATACATATTTAGTACACTTAAAAAGTGATATTGTGAACTTCAAACTTTATTAGGAATAGCAACTTGAATTTTTGCCCTGGTTCAACACTGTCTTTTTGTTTAATTCTAGTAATTAAACCTCTTGAAATGTTTGTAAATCCATACAATGATAATAGGAATAATATCTGTTTCTACCACTTTGATCTAAGTTATTGAGTGGCTTAAAAAATAGAAGTATGTGAAGGTGCTTTGAAAAATATAGCTAATGCTAATATTAAATATAAATATTTAGTGTTCTAGTTTAAAAATTAGAATCCATTGTATTAATATAATTATATTATTATATAAGTATTTTGAGATGATTGTGAACATTATTATTTACTATGACTTTGTACAAATAGATACCATCCATTTCAGGTTTTCAGACCTTCATGGTGATTATGTAGGCTTACCATATTTGTTTAATTTTTTAGCTGGATGAGGTGATGACTGCCATATGCCAAAACATTAGATTCATTTTATTTATTTGAAAATTATAAAGGGTAATCTAAAAAAGTAGAATCACGGGGCTTCCCTGGTGGCGCAGTGGTTGAGAGTCCACCTGCCGATGCAGGGGACACGGGTTCATTCCCTGGTCCAGGAAGATCCCACATGTCGCGGGGCGGCTGGGCCCATGAGCCATGGCCGCTGAGCCTGTGCGTCCAGAGCCTGTGCTCCGCAACGGGAGAGGCCACAACAGTGAGAGGCCCGCGTACAGGAAAAAAAAAAAAAAAAAAGTAGAATCACAAGTTCAATAAGTACTTTGTCCTATCTTCCAGTCAGAAAGACTCTTTTAATATTTTTTAATGAAACCTCATTATGTCAATATATATAGCATAATGACCTAATGTACGTACACAATTAATGAAGGCTGGGAGTGGTTCAGAAGATTGGCGCATGGGGCATTTTGACAGGGAAAACAAGAAAAGCTTTCTCTTGTGAATTGTGATAGCTTTTTTCTTTGTTTTGTTTTGTTTTGTTTTTGCAGAATGTTAAAAGCTAAGGAACAATGCTAATTCTGGGAAAATATAATCAAATTGTTTTGTTTCTTGAATTGTAGCTGACTTTGGCCTGGCAAAGCAAAAACAAGAAAGCAGCAAACTTACATCTGTTGTAGGAACAATTCTGTATTCCTGGTAAGGACAATTATTTTATGGCTCTCTAACACCTTTTTTTAACTGGTTTGGGCTTTCATTTCTTTTCTTGGCTTGCAAAGGAAAGATATTTACATATTTAATAAGTTTTCCTCAATTACCCAGGTAATACACATGTATAGAATCGTACCATTATGTGTTTAAAATAACAAACTATCTTTCCTTTAAGGTAACTCTGCCCCTCAATTACTTGTAATTGAAGTGATCTTTAGCACACAGTAGGTGTACAGAGTTGTTGAATGAATCTGTGAATGAATTAGTAGACTTGTTACGCAATATGACACTTGGAACATTTTATTGCATCTATTTTATATATGATTCTTTTACTCTCTTTCCATCTATAGACATTCAAGGTCAAGGAAAGGGTTTTTATGTCCTAATACCTGTCCCAGCATCTGGCAAATAATAGGTGCTGAATAAATTTTATTATGTGAATGAATAAATGATGATACATATACTTACACATATATTTACAAAGTTGGTGCTTCTTGGGTAAATGAGCATTATTTTGATGAATTGAGACTTTTTAGCATGCTCTTTAGGGTTCCTTTGCAATCCATTAATTATCATGAAGTGAGAATCTTCTTTTGCTGATCACATATCATTTGTCTGAATCTGTTGAAATTAGCAAACAGATATGGTAGTCCGTAGATGCAGCAGATTTCAGGGAAATATTCTGAAATTTCATTTGTCGGGTCAAGCAATCAAGACACTTCCATCTTCATTTTTTAATCTGGTCTATTATGCAGCAGAGTCCTGGGGGAAGGATTCAGAATGAATCTTCTCCAAGGAGGGTGGAATTTGGAAATAACAGCCCTATTTTACAAAGTGCTTTCATACAAGAATGTGCAACATAGTGTTTTTAAGGGGTGAATTTTCATTTATTTTGCTAGAAATTTCTTACATCTTTGTTTTTGAAACTAGCTTCATGGGAAGATGTAGAGATTGGTGGCCAGGCTAATATTGTACCTTGAAAACTGATAGTTTATCTGGGCACTTAATCTCTTAATAATAAGGATATGACTCACCCATTACTTGTTGCTGGAATAATAGTTTTCATTTGTTCTACTTTGTATTCTTTTTCAAAAATAATAAAAGCTTAATCATAAAAGTGTTAAATAATCATATATTCCTGAACAGATTTGATTGTCAATCAAAATTACAGAACAAATAAAATACAAACTAAAAATAAGCACATTTATTCCCAAGACTGTGAATTCAGTTTAGAATTGCTATTATGATAATTTTGTGTGTGTGTTGAGGTGGGGGGCAGGAAATCTATAGAGTATGTAAGAAGAAATCTAAAACATGACAACTATTTTGTTTTATTAGCCCAAAGATGGATTCATATTTTCTTTTAATTTTTAAATTAACTACAGAGTTAGGAAAGCTGAACCTCCTAATACAGTTAAGGTATTATTTCACTTAGGAATATCACAAATGTATGACCGTTCATCTTTCTATCAAGCTCTTTGTTCTTTTAAATTGCTTTAAAATATTTATTTCTACTCCCTTATCCCACCTTCCTCTCTCCTGGTTGTTAGAAATGCCCCTTGTATTTTATAATACAAGGTTTTACAATAAACTTAGGCTCACAAGCCAGAGTTAAAAGAACTCTGTTCTAAATTACATTCCATTACTTTCTTACTTTGGGATTTTCCAGAAGACAAGAATCCAAGTGAAATAGTTTATTTAGTAGGTGATTCCATGAAATAGTGGTGGGGGGTGGGGGGGGTAGGAAATGAGACAGAGAAGGGAAAGCAGCCAGTACAGGAAACATTAATAATCAGATCCAGGCTTCCCCGGTGGCGCAGTGGTTGAAAATCCGGTTCGATCCCTGGTCCTGGAAGATCCCACATGCCACGCAGCAACTAAGCCCATGCACCACAACTACTGAGCCTGTGCTCTAGACCCCGTGAGCCACAACTACTGAGCCTGCATGCTGCAACTACTGAAGTCTGCGTGCCTAGAGCCTGGTGCTCCACAGTAAGAGGCCAACACAATGAGAAGCCTGCACACCACAACTAAGAGTAACCCCCACTCGCCTCAACTATAGAAAGCCCATGTGCAGCAATGAAGACCCAACACAGCCATAAATAAATAAATTTATTTTAAAAAAATCAGATCCATAGATTATTATCTGGGATACATTGTACGAGATGTTTCAGAGTTGTCCTATATGCCAAATTAAAGGTAGGGGTTTTTGGGTTTTTTTCTTTTCTCAGTCACAAGTGACTAAGGGCTACTCCATGGGTGACCTTCAGTCACTCCTGGCCTCCTGGGGTGGCTGGGAGGAAGCCCCCAGGCAGAGAGTCATGGGACCTTGTTCACTGCATGATGTCAAGGACATGCACTGGAAATGTCAGCTGTATAATCTCTCAAATTCTAATTGTTCCAAATTTAAGATGTTTCCTAATATATTGTTTGACATGTCCAATTACTTTTGAATATTTTTATATCCTTCCCTTTGGGTTTTCTCTGAGTTTGTGAATTGAACAAAAGTAAAACAAATATCTTTCACAGTCTCTACCCTGAGTCTCATACCTTCATGCCTTTTCTTGAATTGTCCCTTTATCTATTTCCAGGGTATATCTCTCCACATTCTGTAATCTTTGTGTAATTCTTATGAGCTCCTCTGAGCCAATTCATGTGGACCTGGGATGCCTGCCCCAGCTCTCCACGTTCCCCAGAGTTTGATGTTCCCATATCATTTTGCTCTTTGCTTTTGCCTTTGCTTCCTCAGGTATTAACTTATTTAATAGCAGAAAGTTCTTTATCAACTTTTGCAGGAAGTGCCTGGGAGCATTCTCTTTTTTTTAATATTTGTTATTTATTTATTTGGTTGCACTGGGTCTTAGTTGCAGCCGGTGGGCTCCTTGGTTGTGGCTCATGGGCTCCTTAGTTGCAGCCAGAAGTCTCCTTAGTTGCAGCTGGCAGGATCCTTAGTTGCAGCACATGGGCTCCTTAGTTTTGTCCGGCAGGATCCTTAGGTGTGGCTCTCCTGCTCCTTAGTTGTGGCACATGTGCTCCTTAGTTTCAGCCAGCAGTCTCCTTAGTTGCAGCTGGCAGGCTCCTTAGTTGCAGCACATGAGCTCCTTAGTTGTGGCAGGCGGGATCCTTAGTTGTGGCATGTGAACTCTTAGTTGTGGCATGCATGTGGGATCTAGTTCCCTGACCAGGGATCAGACCCAGGCCCCCTGCCTTGGGACCTTGGAATCTTACCCACTGCACCACCAGGGAAGTCCCATCGGAGCATTCTTTATATCTCAGCTGCTAGATAAGTGGTTTGTGGGCACTGGACTGATTGTGCTATGGGCACTGGACTGATTGTGCTGGAACAGAAGTTCCATAAAACCTTTTCTTATCTAATTATTATCTTATCTTATTTCTTATCTGATTATTATCATTATTAGGCAGGTCTTTATTATCCTTCTCATGGAGAATAATCTCCAAATATGGTCCTTGGTTCCATTTTTTATCTCTACGTCTTACTCCAATTCCAGAGTCCAAAACTGTACACTTCCTTCAACTGCATTTTCAGAGCAGAATTTAGAGTTTGACACTCTGAGATACATTTTGGGCTAGTTCTTCACAGAACGTATATTTGGGATTTCTGGATAATAAACAAGTATGATCTAATAAAAATAGAAAACTTTGACTAATCCTGGAATGGGAATTCTTTGAGACTTTATTGCTTAGTGTAATCCCATTCATGTTATTACATTAGATAATTTTTTTTAAAGCTGCTAAAGTTTTCATTGGATGGATCAAAATAAATCTGTAGGAAAACCTGAACAAGTAGAGACACAGTGAAACCTGCCCAACTTCTAACTGTACTTCTCAAGTTCTTAAGGAATCTCCAAGCTCTGAGACTCTTAATTGACTTAAAACACTTCAGTGGCCTCCAGCTGCTCACAGTTCACAGACCACGTCCTCAGTCGGGCTACAGGAGGACAGCCCTGCATTCTCTGTCTCTGCCACGTCTTCCTGCTGTACCTCCACCCAGACTTCACTACTCTTAGCTGCTCCCTGCATGTTCCCTGTGGCCACAGGGCTTTTGCACATGCTGCTCTCTCTGCCTGGAATACTGCTTTTCCCACTTGTCATCTGGTTAACTCTTCTCACCCTTCACCTCTCAGCTAGAATGTAGCCTCCTCAGGCAAACCCCCCAAAACAGGGCAGGATGCCCCTGGCCTACACACCATGCACTTGTCCTTCACAAGGTGGAATTTTATATTTATTTTGTGATAGGCCACTATCCCCAGCACTGAGCCCGAGTGTGGTTTATAGGCTCGCGAGAAATATTTACTATATGAGTGATCCAGTACTTGTATGACTATGAACAGTACCCGAAATAATGGTAATATAATAAAGGAAATTTCTCCTTCACACTGTAACAAACCTTCCACCCCGTCAGCCGCCCCTTCGGCTGTGCCTTCAGATTTCTAATGTACGCCCACCGGGTGCTCCTCCTCCAGAGCTGCAGCTCACCTCCTTTCTTCCTTCTGCTCTCTGTTAAATGTCCCCTTCTGTAGAGAGGTTTTCCTGATCATCTGCCCCAAATAGCAACCTCCTTCAGACTCTACCCCTTTATTTTTTCATAGCATTTGTCTCTCTCTGGCATTATGTTGTATTTTGATTAGTGTATCATGTGTCTCCCACTAAAACACAGACTCCACAACAGTAGAGCTGTTAACTGTTTTGTTCACTGTTGTTTCCCTGCTCCTCTAGGAGCAGACTGACAGAATACTAATAAATATTTTGAATTATTAAAGTGAAAATAAGTTATTCTGGTTTTGTCTTAAAATGTCTTTTTTGAACTTTGTTGAAGAGTAATTGGGAAAAATTGACAAATATAATTGTATATATTTAGAGTGTATAACACGATTTGATATACATTTGTGAAATGATTACCAAGATCAGTATAATTAACAAATCCATCACCTCACATAATTAACGCTTTTTTGTTGTTGTTCTGAGAA